CCCAGCTCAGCGCCTGCAGCCCCCCGTTGGTGCTGTAACTGCCCGAGCTCAGCCCCTGCAGCCCCCCGTTGGTGCTGTAACTGCCCCAGCTCAGCCCCTGCAGCCCCCCGTTGGTGCTATACCTGCCTCCAGCTCAGTGCCTGCAGCTCCCCCCGCCCCACCCTTGATGCTGTAGCTGCCCCAGCTCAGTGCTTGCCCCCTCCTGGTGCTGTACCTGCCCCCAGCTCAGTGACTGCATCTCCCCCACCCCTTGGTGCTCTAACTGCCCCAGCTCAGCACCTGCAGCCCCTCTGGGCCCCTGTGAAGTGGCCTGTGGCCCGCTTTATGTTGCATCCTTCACAGAATGCCTCAGCTGACTCTGGCCACCTCCTTCCATAAGAGATGTGAGTGGCGGGGACCTCATCCTTAATTTGTAACTCCCTGGAGAGTGACAGCTGGTGGTGCGTGACTCCCGCACTCCCGAGTCACCCGCTTTCTGGTGACCAGCTCTGGGTTTGTACAGCACTGATGATATTGGCCCTTGACAGCTAAGCTGGGGGGAGAGAGATGGTCACGGAGGCAGGCGGGCTGTGGCCCCCTCCTCTCCTGGTGCTGGGCTTGGCTGGGGCCCGGCCCTCAAGTGTTGAGGAGGGCTTCACTAGGAAACAGAAGCCCTTCCGGCTGCCCCTCCTGCTGGCCTGCCCCCTCCGGGGCTTGGCGTCCCGGGGCGTGGAGGGCAGCCCTCGGGGATCCATCCCTGGGGGACGATGGTCCTGGTGCCCGTGCTGCTGTGCTGACCCTGCTGTCCCCACCTGCCTGCAGGTGAGTGTGGCTGCTCGCATGGCACAGAAGATGTCCTTCGGCTTCTACAAGTACAACAATATGGAGTTTGTGCGCATGAAGGGGCCCCAGGGCAAGGGCCACGCTGAGATGGCCGTCAGCCGCGTGTCCACTGGGGACACGTCCCCCTGTGGCACTGAGGAGGACTCCAGTCCAGCTTCGCCCATGCATGAGCGGGTAAGGGCTGCACGGCTGGGAGGGCCGGTCCCTCGGAGTCTCTGCCCACCGCCTCCCTGGTCCCCACAGCCCCTGGTCAGGTAGGTGCCGAGGTTCAGAGAGGGATGTGGCTTGCCCAAGAACACACAGCAGCTTTGCGCTTCGGCCAGAGCTCTTTCTGCTTCCCTGAGCCACCGCTGCAGCCCGGCCAGGTCTCTGGAAAGGAGTGGACAGAGACCGGCTGGGGGCCCAGGCCAGGTTCAGTGTCTGCCCTTCCTAGAGTCACATGGGGTGATGGTGAGCCTCCGCACTGCCGCCCGGGAGGACCAGTGAGAAGACATGGGGCCCTGGCCCTTCTGTTTGTTGCCTCTGTTAACTGCTGTGAGGCTACAGCTGCCGGGCAGGTAGGCATGAGAACCCCTGCCTTAGGGACCAGGAAGCTGAGCCAGCACTGCCCAATCATGCAGCTCTCACAGTCCAGGGCCTGCTCCTCCTGGCCACCGTCCTCCTCGGGGCGGGAAGCCAGGGCCAGTGAAGCTTTCTGCGCAGGACCCAGGGTGCAGGCACGGTAACATCTTTAGGCCCTTGATCTCCAGAGGGGCTGCTCAGAGCTGGAGGTCTGGGAAGGGGACAGGAGCCAGTGCAGATGGCAGGGTCCTCGAGGCTGCCTTGCCCAGCCCTTCCCTAGAGTGGGCCCTGGGGACCCCGATGGCTGGGATCGGGCTCTGCTGCCCGCAGCACCTTGGACAGCCGCTGTTCCTCTCTGGGCCCCGGCGTTCTCACCTGGGTGTGGATGAAGCCCCTGCTTCTGCCCTGCTCCGCAGGCAGCAGCTGCTGTAGGTACCGTGTGGTGTAGACCTGCTGGGGAGCGAGTCCCGGGAAGGCCGGGAAGGCCGAGGCGGGAGCAGGTCTCTGCTATGCTTCTCATTCTGTAGCAAGGGCGACCAAGGCGTCTCCGGGTGGGCGCGAGGCGGTTTCTATCCCTCCCTTATCTCTTCTTTTTGTATTTGCTCCAGTGAATGCGTTTTATAAGCAGACCCAAAACCGTAAATGCTCTTCTTTTAGAAAGATGAGGGAGAATTTCGGGGGGCCTCTCTTGTCTCTGGCACTCAGGTTCTTCCTATGCTGGAGTTCGTTTCTGAGGGGGGGCCCTAAGTATCTGCCACTGGGCCTGTGAAACAGACAGGGTTCGGGTCATCCTGACAGAACGTGTGTTTTTTGAAGCCCTGGTGAAGAGGTAGCCTAGACTCTGGGGTTTGCCGAGACCTTGGTTCTCCCATCTGTGGGATGGACGTGACGAGTCCCCCCATCCAGGGTGCCTCTGAGGAGTGCAGATGTGTGTGGAAGCTCCTGGCCCCGGGGGCAGGGAGCCGGGGCAGGGGTGGGCGGGCGGACGGTGGTCAGGGCCAGGTGGTAGGCAGCGGGCAGCGGACAGCCCGGGCTCCTGCCCTCTGTGCTGACTGTCGCGCGCCTTCCTCTTCCAGAGTGGCTTTTGGTAGCCAGCGCATGACAAGTGCAGACTCTGTGTGTACTGTGGTTTCTGGTGTCTGTTCTTTTATCCTTTGAAACCCTTCCCTGGCTGGCGTGAGGACCACATGGAGCCCAGCGGCTGCCAGGACTCCGGTAGCAGCCGGAGCGGTGACAAGGAGGCTGACGGGCCTCCCTGAAGTCTCAGCCCAGCGCAGCTTGTTCTGAAGATCCTTGTTTGCATGGGGAGGAGGGAGGAGATGGGCCAAGTTCCCTCTGCCTGGAACGCCCTTCCCCCCCTTCTTCACCTGGCGAACTCCTACTCGTCCTTCAAGACCAAGCTGAGCAGCATCTCCTCCAGGAAGCCTTCCTTGATTTCCCAGCTGTTAGACCCTTTTGCCTCTGTGCTCCCCCTGTATCCTGTGCCCCCTTTTCTCTGTCTCCATGACTACCTCCCTGTATGTAGTTGTCACCGAGTCTGTGAGCTCCTTGAGGGCAGGGACCAGTGTCGTGTGATACCTGTCCGAGCGCGGTGCCTGCCTGGCCCGGAGTGGGTACGCGGGGTGTCTGGTGAACTGCACAGGGTGACCTGAAGTGGGGAGGAGAGGAGGTGGAGGCAGAGCCACTTGCCAGTAGTACTTTTCGTGAGATGACGCTGGAGTAGAAGGGGGGGACGTATCAGCTGAGGGCGGCAGGAGGGGAAGAAGCGGAGGACCGAGCTGCAGGCCCAGCTCTGCCCCGTCTTGCTGGTCGACCTTGGACAAGCCGAGGTGGCGCCCCAGCCCTCGTTCCTGCCCTGGTCGAACAGGCCAGCATTAGCTCTGACCTCGGGAGTGGTCGAGGGGTTCAGTGAGTTCCTGTAGTGTGGTTCAGCGGTGGTGTTACAGTTATAGAACAACCCCCGACCATTGTCTGAGGCCCAGAAGAGGAGCCCCTGCCACTCACAGCCCGGTTCCTTGGGCAGCCCTGATGGCAGGCTGGCCTGCTGGCCCCTGAGCTGAAGCTCGCCTCCCAGTGCCCTCTGGGGCCGCCCAGACCCGCCTGCCTACTCAGCCCCAGTGGCCAGCTCGGAAGGGCCAAGTGAGGGACCACAGCCCGAGTCTTCTGTCCCCGCCGTGCTCTCCCGGCTCGTTGGAGGGCAGGAATCAAGCAGGCTGGGCCCCGCGGCCCACGGACAGCCCTTGCTGCTGTGATGACGGCAGCTCTTTGTCCCCAGGTGACCTCCTTCAGCACGCCCCCGACCCCCGAGCGCAACAGCCGGCCCACCTTCTTCTCGCCGTCCCTCAAGAGGAAGGTGCCACGGACCCTGATGGCCGAGATGAAGAAGTCGCATTCGGCCAACGACAGCGAAGAGTTCTTCCGGGAGGAAGACAGCCGAGGTGACCGCCCCTCTGCCCTCAGCGCCCCGCCCCGTCTCCTCTGGGCGTACACTGGTGGCTCATTGGTGTGCTCGGGGACTTAGCAACAGGTGGGGCGCGTGCGCGGGCCCGGGGCCCACTGTGCTGGGGAGAGAGTGGGCAGTCACGGCTCACGCCCGGGGAGCTTGCTGCCCAGCAGACCTCCGCCTTCCCCTAGAAAAGTGCTCTGGAGCACGTCCACACAGCCTTTGCAGTTTCGGGGGTTTGTGGACTTCCTGACGCCCTCCGGTTTTCTTAGGGAGAGCAGACCATCAGTGGTCTGTTACGCACAGAGAAACACTGAGTGAGGGATGAACTCTGGCTCCTTCTTGAATGTTGTGACTCGTGACACCCGTGCTTTCACTCCTTCTCAGTATCCTTTTTGGCCAGCTCACCCTCTACTCTAGAACCTTCCATTGTTGAGGGTCCTCGGGGTTCCCCTGTGTCTCCCTCACTCTGTGTAGTCTCCTCAGGCGCTCGCTGCTCTGTGGCAACAGCAGTCACCACGGGCAGCTGCCGGCCGCGTGCCTTCACCTCTGGCCTCCCCTGCGCCCGGCCTGAGGCCCCGGGGCCTCCTTGGCATCTCCTCTGGGAGGTCCCAGAGGTGCTCCCGTCTGACCAGCTGCCAGCCTGCGCACATGTGCACGCGCACACACAGGCACACGGATACACACACCCTCACACACAGACGCACACACACACACACTCCCTCTCCCAGCAGACCTGCGCCTCCCACCATTCTCTCTCGCCGAGCAGCACCCCCGTCACCGAGGTGCCCTACCCAGAAAGCAGGGAGTCGCGTTTGGTCGTAAGAGTGAAGGGAAGCCAGTGGAGGGGCTTAGGCAAGGGAGTGACAAAATCAGATTAGAAGGTTCACAACAGCACTCGGAGGCCCATGTGGAAGATGGACTGTCGGAGGACAGAGCTGGACCTTGGGAGGGCCCCCAGCTCTGTGGGGCATCATGCCCACGTATCTGCAGGGTGTCTCACCCACGTGTCCGCAGGGCATCCCGCCCGCGTGTCTGCAGGGCCGCACGGTGCCACGGCGTCGGTGTTTGCGAGTGGATGCAGGACTGAACAGCCTCACTAACTTAGCAAGTACTTGGGGAAGACAGCAGTTCTCGTCCTGCCCGCCAGGGTTGAGAGCAGAGGGATGAGACCCCGCCCCAGGGCCAGGAGACTCTGGCTCCGGCACTGGCCTTGCACGTGCTGGGTGTGGTCTCGGGACGCCCCTTCCCCACTCAGCTTGTTTCCACGTCAGTAGGAAAGTGCTGATTCCCACGCCAGTCAGCCTCCCTGGTGTGAGGTCCCCCTGCTGGACCATAAGACCTCACTCCCCACGTGCTGTGGACTGGCTGTGCCAGCTCCAGGGATGGGCAAGGCTGCAGGGCAGCAGAGCAGACTGAGGTCACGAGCCAGACCCCCCAGAGCACTGAGCCCCGAGGCAGAGACTCTTCTGGAAGGGGGTGAGGGGGCTGGACCCTGGAGGGTGGGAGTGAGGTTTGGAGTCAGGAACGGGGAGTGAGGAGGCCTCGATTCGGGTGTGTGTGTGGCATGCCCGGACTTGTGGAGCCCTTGGTAAGAAGCACCCTGTGCCCTGAGGGTGGGGCTGGGCCCGGAGGGAGTCATCCCAGGGTGTGGGTGGTTCTGCTGCTGCTGCCCCCAGGGCCCCGCTGCCTAGCCCTGACCTGGCCTCCTGACCTGGCCTTCTCCCCTCCAGCTGACCTGCACAACGCTACCAATCTGAGGTCGAAGTCCCTGTCTGGCACGGGACGGTCCCTGGTGGGTTCCTGGCTGAAGCTGAACAGAGCAGATGGAAACTTCCTTCTCTATGCACACTTAACCTATGTCACGTTGCCACTGCATCGGATTTTAACAGGTAGCGCAGGGGTTGGACGGGTGGGAAGTTCTGCCACTTCCTTGTAGCTGGCTCTGGTTCCGGGCCCCGGCGCCACGGTTCCAGGCCACGGCCCGCCAGTCTGCACTTCCACATCGGGTTCTCAGGCTTCCTGCTGTAGACTCCAGGTGGGGGCTCCTGGGAAGCATGGCCCCTAAAGGTCTCCCTGGGCTCACCCCTGCGGTCCTTGCTGTCCCCTCTGGAGCAGCAGGGGATCCCCCAGGTGTGAGCTCCTTGTGGGCAGGCGAGATTCAGGCCTGTGTGCTGAATGCTGGCCCTGGGCTCAGACCGGCCTGTGTAGCCCGCTTCTGTTTGGCCTTGGCCAGCTCTGTGCTGCTCCAAGCTCATTTTCCATCCGTAGAATAGGAGTGATACAGCATTTGTACTTCTGTTAGGAGCCCAGGAGGAAATGCACGTGAATGACTGGGTGTGGGCTTTGTGTGGGCTCAGGGCTTCCTTCATAAATGGTGGCTGCTGTGGCTCTCACGCTCAGTGGGTTGAACTTCTGTCTCCCCTCCTGCCGCCTAGACATCCTGGAAGTACGGCAGAAGCCCATCCTGATGACCTAGCAGTGTGCGGAGCCCGAGCAGCGCCACCAGCCCTGCCCGGCATGCCCAGCCCTGGGAGTGCTGCCAAGTGCCTACCTGTGCCACCGCCCCCGGGCTCTTCTGTGACAACCCAGCGCTGGAGCTGGGCCAGGGCGGGGCCGACTTGGCCCCCAGGGCCCGGGCCAACTCCATGAACACCAGCCCAAACTGAAGTGCCTCTCTCCTCCCTGCTGGCTCTGCCCCTGCCCCGTGCTCACCACCCGTCACCCCCCAGCCCATCTCTGGAGAGCCCTGTGCACCTGGCGGGGACCAGAGTCCCAAGAGGGCATTAGAGAGCACAAGAGGGAGCAGCCGGCGTCCAGAACATGTCCAAACGCACGAGTCCTGTGGCCGCATCCCAACAGACAACAGCGGAACCCCCGGCTGGAGCACTCGGAGCTTTGTCAAGGAACGCCCATGTAAGGTTTTGAAGCGCCGTGTGGATGAGCGTCAGCCGCCCAGTTGGTCTGCCCGCCCTCCCTGGCTCACCACTTGGGTGTTGGTGGGTTCCCACGGGGAGACAGGGAACACAGAGGTGGACCGTTTTGCCCTGGGCTGGGAATACCTCACCCCACGCTCGGTTCCAGAAAGGCCCGATCCCCACCAGAATGGCCTTCTGCTTCCAGCCAAAGAACACCGCCAACACACACACCTCCAGTTTGGAGACCTCCCGTGGGGGCCTCACTGGAGGGGCCACCGGGTCTGGACCTGAGGGCGGGCGGGAGGGCCTGGCAGCCAGGCAGGAGGAGAGCGGGAGCTCTGCCCCAGGAAGGTTCCAGCTAGGGCCCCTCCGCCGGGGCTGGGGAGGGGATGGCGCCTTGTTCCACCTGCCCTGGTCCCCGGAGCTCACCTGCTCTGACCGATGCTGGGCCTCCGCTCAGACCAGCTCGCTGAGGCTGACAGGAACCGGCCCAGGCCTGCGTGGCGGGCTCCTGGCGCTGGGCCTTCTCCACCTCGGAGGCGTTTCCGTGTGAGGCGGGCTCCAGGCGCTGGGCCTTCTCCACCTCGGAGGCGTTTCCGTGTGAGGCGGGCTCCAGGCGCTGGGCCTTCTCCACCTCGGAGGCGTTTCCGTGTGAGGCGGGCTCCAGGCGCTGGGCCTTCTCCACCTCGGGGGCGTTTCCGTGTGAGATGACGCCACACATGAGCGTTCTCGTCAGAGCACCCCCTCCGCCTCCCCCGGGAATAAACTAAGATGGGTCTCTTTGTGGCTGTCTTTTGTCTGGGGTCCCCAGGAGTACCAGTGCGCTTGGAGGTGCTCTTTTGGGGAAAAAGAAAGAGGATGAGCTCTTTCCTCGTCCGCTCTCCTCCTGCGGTCTCTGACGGTCTGGGACTTTCTCCAGGTTTTGTATTCTGTTATTAAAAGCAAGCTGTTGCATTTTCTCCTGCCTCAGTTTGCCCACCTGTAACACTGGGCTGATGCCACCTACCTCACTGAGCGTCTGCAGGGTTCACATGGGATGACCGCTGCTATTCTCCGTAGCTCTGGTCAAGGGTTACACCGTCGGGGTACCCGCCCCACCTCTTTATTAACCTTGTCCGAGAAGGGGTGGTGGGCTTGGGCTCGGCGCCCAGCTTCCCTCTCCACGCTTCCACTTTCCGAGCAGTGTGTTAGGGCAGCCAGAGGGAGGCCACGCCCCCCCGAGCTGGAGCAGAGCGCCCAGGGAGCGTTCCCGGACACCCCGTCCCCAAGCTTGTGTCCAGAGTGGCTGAGGTACAGCTGTTTCTTCAGGGACTTTTCCTCCCGGTCGTTCTGGGGTCTGAAGACTGACGCTCAGATCTGGGGAGGACACGGGCAGGATGAGGACACTCGAGTCGTGCAGAAACACCGCTTCCTCCCGCCGTCCTCAGAGGCCAGGAGCACGAGAGGGTGCCTGGGACTAGCGCAGTTGGCTGCCCGCCCCCACGCCCAGACAGACCCCTCATCCGTAAGATGGCAGATGTTCTGGCTCCTTGTGGTGATTGTGAGGCTCGGCTACCGTAAGGTAGGAAAGTGCTCTGCAGGTGTCTGTGTGTGGCGGTATTTTAGAGCTCCTGCCTGCATCTTCAGAGCGTGCAGACGCGTGACGGCCTGGCTGTTTAGCGTCTGACACCACGGTGCCTACCGTGTGCGGCCCTGTGGTAAACACTCAGGAACCATGAGCCTGTTTCACAGATGAGGAACGGCAGCAGAGGATACGGGGACTCCCTGAGGCTGAACAAGAAGCAGTGACAGGCGTCAGGCAGCCTTCCGACCGCAGGCCCCCACCCCAGCCTGCCCGGACTAACGGACAGACATTCGGTGGAGTCGCCCCTTCTGTCTCTAAGGCCTTCCCCAGAGGACACGGTTAGAGGCACCCGAACTAGGCAGCAGGCTGTTACTCAGAGCAACACATGACACGAGTAACAGAGGTAACGAAGCCGCAGGCGCCCTGGCGGCGAACAACTTTCACTGCTCGTGAAGCCACCTTGAATTTTTCTGGAGACGTGCCCCTTTTTATAATGTAGGGATGACCGAATCCTCCGTACATTTCTTAAAGTGGAACTGGAATCAAAGTACACTTTTCCTTTGAGGAAACCTAGGGGTCACTTTTTAGGACATTAATGAGAAAGTTATCTTTTTATTTGTTCTTTTAAAGAAATGCCATGGCCCTAGACCCTGATAGGTTTAACACGCTGTTTCCATTGCCGTCTTTCCATCTTTCAGCCCCTGAATGTTCAGGTAGCGCTTGTCTTAACATCCTGACGTCCTACTGCGACCTCTAGGGTGAGTCTGCATCGTTGCCCGTAAAAACAACGGAGGTTCGTTATTTCAGAAGAATGTTATTTAGAACACAAGTAACTGAGATGTAGCAAATGAGAACAAACAGAAGCAAAATATTCTGTAGCCCAGTCAACCTGGAGACCGCGTGGGTTTTCCGGTGAGTCAAGGTGAGTCAAGTAATTGTTAACATTTGCTGCCGACAGACCAGAAGCCAGTCAGGTTTCTGTCTGCAAGGCGTCATGGTAGCAAGGACAAAGACACACGCTCGGTGTGATTTTTTAAAAAAGAATCTTAGTTAGAATCAAACCAGGATCTATTTATGCTGTTTTAATCACAAATAGACTAGTTAGTAGAATACTTAAGGACAAGTAAAAATTTTTTTTCCCATTAAACAACATTCCAGAAGGAAGCTTCTTACGCACTTGGTATGTTCCAGTGACTGACTGCGGCAGTTTTAAATCATTGGCCAAAATTCTTTACAGGCTTACATATTAGAAATCTATCTGCCAACTTTTGAATCAAAGAAACTTACTAGGTTTCACTTGGTTATATGTACTCTTCCGCTTTCCAGTTTAGCTGGAATTAGGTTTCAGATCCATTTTCAAAAACCAAGTAACTTTTGACATTACTCTGATTCTTCCTGTTTGTACCGGAGAGCAGAATTAACTTCTCTTTAAAAAAAAAAATAACCGCCCTGGTGGCAAAGCACGGCTGACATCTGGGCCCAGAGTTGGACTGAGGCAGCCGTGGGTGGTGGGCCCAGCCCTTTCCTTCAGGGAAGCCCCTTGTGGAGGCCAAGTGGTCAGGGACCGGCCGCGCCCTCTGTGAGAGGGCCTCTGGGGGATAAGAGCTGGGGACGCGCCGACGTGGTCCTCAGTGGAGAAGGGAATCCTCCAGCCCCTTCTTTGAGCCCTGGAACAGCCACCGGAGAACTCCCGGGGACCCCAGAGACAGAAGCGAAGTCACTTGAGCACCAAGGGGTCTGGGGCGGGGCCTCAGAAGTGGGATTTGGGTTTACACTTTTCTCTTCTTCCCAAGGCCGGCGGGCACGTTTGTTGTTCCCGTTCAAGTCCTCAAGTTTAGCAGATTAAACGCAACAGCCATCCTCCAGCAGTACCGGGTGGCCCGAGGCATTCAGACTTTCTGACCTTTTGTCCTTCACTTCCCCGCTTTGTCCTAGGTTGGGGCGGTTTGCGTGTAAATAGTTACTGTTGATGGTTTTCAGACTAATTCTACGTATGAAAATCAGTAAGCCTGCAGAGAAACGCTGTTGAGATTTTTCACTACTTGGAGGCTTCGCTGGTGATGTTTACAAAGTGTGTTTTAGCCACAGCTCCGCGATGGTGTGCTGACTGTCAGCGGTATCTCCCTAAACATGATCCACAACGGGCTCAGCCATCCTCACGGACAAGCAGACATTGTTGCCAAACGGCATCTGTGGCTGGCTGTTGGCTTTGCTTTATGATTTCCATGTTTCTTTTGAACATTGATTTGCATGTTAGATATTAAATTTTTCTTCCTTGTTTTCCTCTAAAATCAGTCTGTACCTAGTCATTCTTTTCCCAGTAGGCATTTCAGATGAAATTCTTTGCAGATATTACAGCAAAGCGATTAACTCAGTGATTGAATCATTTGCCCCCAAGATTGGACTTTCTTTTAAGCTTTGACACGGGTGACTTTTTGAGACTCTCAGAGATCACCGTGTGCACTAGCCTGCAGCAGCTGTCCGCACGTGGAAAATCGGCGTGGGCGGGCGGGCGATGCTTAGTTACACCAAGTGCAGGTTGGTCAGAAGCGTCCTGTTTGCAAAATCACGAGAGATGAGTTGTGGGTTTAGCTCTCAGACCTATAAAGTAGCATATGCCCTTCCAGTTGTACCGCAAGATCCTGAGCTTTTTCTAGAGAACCTCTTAAAAAGCCGTCCCAGACGTGGGCAAATCCCTGGAACAGAAGTCAGGCGTCCTAAGGTCCATTTTTGGCCAGCTGCCTCGTCTTCTGGAAGATGAGGTTTTGGAATGGGTGGTCTCTCTCTTGCCTTGCAACTCTACAAATAATCAAGTATGATGTTGAGCCTGTTCCCTTTTTTTCTGGCTAATTCTACCAGAGCCTGCTATGCAAATCCATCATAGATGGAAGCAGCTTCAGAAATTACCATTCAAGCAGTGGACTTTTTCTTTCCATGATCAGTGAGCACAAGTAAGGTCTAAGACACTGTAGAAAGTTGTACAATAGCAAACAAGAGAACAAGGGGCCCTGAGAGGAACATACCTACAAGTTTAGCAGTGAGGAACTTCACATCAAGTGACACCCCAGAAAGGGCAGGTCCTGCAAGATGGCACTGCTGTAAGGAGGTGGTTTAACAGGTTAAAAGTCTTCCTTGCCATGCAGATGAAACCCTGCTATTAGGACATCCTTTTTCATCCCGAAATGATGTACTTGTCAATATTTGGGGAGAAGTCTATCCCGGAAGCTACATGCAGTAACCTCATTCCTAGTAAATGCCCACTCTTGACGCTAATATTGCTCAGTGTTTTGAGTTCTTTTTTCCTGACCTAGATGAACTTTTAGAAACTACTGTCATGCCCTAGCTTAGAAAAAAGTGTTGACTGAAGAGAAAACCTTTGGGGATCTTATACTGGGAGGAAGGGGAAACGGAAGATAACATAGTTGTGTGATAACCCAGTTCTTTGTAAATATATGTGTTGAATGTGTAACACGCTGCCCTTTGAGCTTGACTGTTTAAATGCCAGGAAAGCAGCCGGGGCATCTAAATGAAGACGGTGATAGAACGATAATGTCTTCCTTTTCCTTGTGGCTTCGGTGACTTGCCCCGAGTGACCCCCCACATAAACCACAGGGTTTAACAAGATACTTCTTTCTTACCTGTGGGGTCAGGATTTTTCATCTTGGAATTTTAATAAAATTAGAAAGCTGCTCAGTTTGAAATAACCATGGTTTTCAGTGACCTTTAATGATTATATTTTGAATAAACAATTTTGTTCAAAAGATTTTAGCCAATTGCGGAGGTCAGTCAGGGTCCGTCATTTCAGGGGGCACATACGCGGCTTTGAGTGGCGCGCTGCCAACAGCACGCACAGGCCTGGCTTTTCTCGGGTGGAAGTCGAGTCACCACCTGCCTTCCCCCAAGGTACCGTGAAGTTCAAGGGAGGCAAGGGCAGCACAGAGGCCGGGCTGGTTCTGGAACTCTCGTCACTACTGCTGCTTCCCCCTCCAAAAAAAGGGGCCAAAAGATATTTCAAAGGCTGGCTGTCCTTAAGCAAGAGTCACAAGGGACCACAGACCTGGCCCAGTGGTTCTCAAAACTGTGTGTGGAAACCCAGGTGGCTGGTGACAAACACACTCTGGCATTAGTGGTGATGGTTGCACAACTGTACTAATACACTAAAACCCACTGCACTGTCCACGCTGAAAGGCTGGATTTCACCCGTGTAAGCTACAGCGCAATTTTAAAGTAACAACAGGTGACCGGGTGTTAACCAGAGGTTCTGATTCAGTAGGTCAGGGAGGGGGCCCAAAGTTGGCATTTCTAGCAAATTCCTCGGTTTTACTGATGCTGCTGGTGCCGGGACCACACTTGAGAGAAGTACTGTTGTAGCCCAGCTACTCAGCTGAGTACCTACAACAGGTCTGCTCTTCAGGCGCCAGCCTACTCGTTAGCTCCAACCGTCAGTTGCCGTCCAGTTGATTCCCGCTCATGGCGGCCCCATGTGTGTCAGAGTGGAACTGCACTCCATAGGGTTTTCAATAGCTGATTTTTCAGAAGTCGATCGCCAGGCCTTTCTTCCAAGGTGCTCTGGGTGGACTCAAACCTCCAACCTTTTGGTTAGCAGCTGCACGTTAACTGTTTGCACCAGCCAGGGACTCCGGCTCTTTAGACAGCACCTGGTTAATGCCGCTTTAGTCTCCACTAGATGTTAACAGTTCAAGACCACCGCGTGGATGGCTAACTTGGACTCTGCAGTATTTCCTTCAGCAGGAGACCCTTACGAGCCAGACGAACGCTAAATCACTTAGGAAACAATGTGATCATGACTCCAAAATACCGTCATAATTATAATTTAATATTAATGCCTTAATAGTGTGTTTCTAAATCACCAAAAATTTAAGAGTCTATAAACGCAAAATAATCATTTATTTTTCTTGGTCATTTTGATATTCTTAGTATCAAAATGTCCTCCTAGAGCTCAGGTTTTGGGCTGAGATGGGCCTGGACACTTACCCTCCCTGAGCGCTTCTTCCCATTCTAACCTGTCAAACATTAATCCAGCAGAACTCTCGCCCCGTACATGGGAGTCCAATCCTAAGATCTAAACAGGCCTCACCCTTGCCGTCAAACCGACCTTCTAGTGTGAGCCGGGGAGGCTTCTGAGCGCTGCTTCCGCTTCTCTCCCCTCCTGTCTGCCTGACTCAGCGCCAAGCGCGCCACAGAGAACAGAAGAGGGTCAAACGCTGGGACTGTTGACTTTCCATTTATTCACATTTCATGGGCTGTTACACTTCTCAGCGGGAGCGTTCACCAACTCGTACAGACTGAGATTACATCGACAGTTCAAGTAGCTGTTTTAGAAAACAATTTCCTACTTAAAATAAAAAGTGAACAGTTTACCCGTCTGATTGCTCATCGGTTTGACCTTGCCGTTAGTGGTCTGCGCCAGAGGCGGGGCCTCAGCCCTCGCATGATTGGGGCCTGGCCTCGGAGACCAGTCTGTGCTCAGACGGGACACTGCAAGACGGGACCAACGGGGGGGTCATGGTCCTCACGGTCATCTGCTGGCTCCACGCGACGAAGCCGCTTCTACCTCAGATTCCCACAGCTGGGGGTGAGCTGTTCAGTCCGCAAAGGTTTCAAATCCTGCTTGCATTTGACTCTTCTGAAACATCAGGGTAGCTGACAACTGCTCCAAATGTTGGAAAAAGATACAAAAACCTAAACACAACTGTTTACCTTCAAAATGATGCAGGAAAGGCTTTCTCTGCTAGGGCCTGTTCTGCACTCTAACAGGCAGGGTAGATTGTTACTGTTTCTTTCCTCTACCCCAGGACAGGTAGGGTGGTTTTTTTTTTTTTTTGGCATGCAGCATATAAAAAACATGGTTTACAATTGAAATTGTAGTACAGCCCTCTTAAAGTCAGCACAGAAACAGACATGCCCTTCCATGGAAAACAATCTAAAACGTCTTTGAGAACTGGACACATTTTCAGTCTGGGATTCTAACAACAAAGACGACTCACTCTTTTGCTTACTGGGAATGCTCGAAAGGATGAAATGCACACACATCGGATTTTTTTTTTTAAAAAGGCCACTCGGATACTCGGTATTTGTCAAGATGCAGAACAAGTTGATTTAAAGATACACACTCCACTTTAGGTCATGTATGTGATACAATTTAGAGATTCACAAACTAAACGTATGAAATTTCAGTCCATATTACATGTAACATTTTAAAGCTTAATTTCTAATATCTGTTAAAAAATCAAACTAAAATAACCCTGGGTCAAAGCTCAGCTGTTAATACCCTAGGGAAAAAAAGATGAGCCCTCCAGGGGCTGGGGGGTGAAGCCCACGCAGACTCAGGCTGCCAGACAGGTACATAATCACAGTGGAGACCAGCAGGCCCCTAAAGCGTAAACGACTGGCTTTACGAAAATACCACATTGTGGGTTACGGTGCACACATCACATCTTTCCCTGTAATTTTCACTTTAACAGTGACAGTCTTTTAGCAGCAAGAATTTGCTGGGAATGTTAGGAAGAAAAAAAAAAGCCACACATATCCACTAATTTAAAAAGAAAAGATAGGAACTTTTGGGGGGGATGGTTAACAGATAATCTAGTCATGGTATTTTCACGTCACGTCCACACAGACATGCCACGGCACAGGCAGAGGTGAACACCGCACCACATCGTGAACACGACAGTATGAGTTTCACTCTCTTGGGTGGTGTGGCTAAGCTGTAAGACACGGCAGTCCCCCTTTTCTTATTTCCTCTTCATCCTTGTAACAGTTGAGTAAGTCTAGGTGAATAGGGCAGGGTCGGTGTTAACAGAACTATCAACCACCTGCTTACTGTAAATTTTCTGCAACAAAAACCCATGAACATTCTCAATTCTAAAAAGGAAATACAGAAAGAACCACCACTTCCTTCCTAGGTTGCACAACATAGCTGAGTTTGTGACCGCATCCCATAATAGTGCAAGCACACCTCTCTGCATGCATTTCTCCAAAGTCACACACTGGGCCACTCTCTCCCACTGGAATCAAAAAGGAAGAGCACCTCATAGGAAACGCTGGCCCAGTCAGCTCGCCTCAAGCATGTAAGGGTCGACATATTTGATCATAAGACTGTTTTCACCACTTGGCACTCAGATCCTAGCTTTTTTTTTTTTTTTTTTTTTTTAAAGCAACTGAACCATCCACAATTATTCTGACTGCTTTCTTCTAAGTCAAACTACGTTATGTGCCGAAGACCAGAATATACAAGTGGGAGCGCCTCGGCACTGACCTGAGCCTTGATTCTTAAGACCACGCTGGTGCCAGGGTGAAACAGCTCACGAGGAATGACAGCGGGAACTTAACTGTGCACCGAGTTCACGAGCCCGAGTCTTCAAAGCACACGAGTGCTGCTTCTCTAACAGCCACAAGCAAGTAGCAGGCATGCGCCACGGGTATTCTGGGCATGACCACGGCGCCCTTCCAAAGGGGCAGGTTAAATATCTGATCCTTCAAAAAGCAAAAGGAGATTTCAAGTATCAAAGGTAGAGTGTACTGCTGTCTAAAGGCAAAATCTACACCTGCGATTCTCTCTTCCACCACCTGACATGCTTCCCGTTAACCCCTACGGCTCGCGTTCAGGAAAGCTCCACCCGTCACCTAAGTACATGGCTCCCCGCCCAGAGGGTTCCACATACAGCATCCTAGTTTCTTTTTTATCTAGTCCGGTTTAACTATGACTTAACTTTATTTTCATAAGGGTTTACTTTCCATGGTCTAGAAAACATACACTGGCAATTTTGTGCTTTTAAACCAACTCCTGGAAATCCCCCTCTCCTCAACTGTCTTTAGGAGGACAGAGAAGTAACAGCACCTCATGAATAAAACCACAAACCCAAACCGAGGAACTGCTGAAGTCCACTTGGCCCTCCGCAAGTCGCTCATCGCGTTCAAAATGGAAAAGTAGGTCCTGAACTCCAGAAAGCAGCCTAGAGCGTTACAGGCCAGCGTTTGCAGGTAACAGGCTGATTAGCTTTAAAATAAACCTTCATAAACAAAGCAAAGCAAGCACATCTCTCTCATTTGGTAACAGCGCTGTCATCCCAGAAGACCGCCCCGAGAGGAGAGGACGCTGCTCCAGGCAGGCTTCTCTCCGGACGCAGCGGTGGGTCTCCTGCCAACATTGCGTCCTGGAGCCCCATCAGTGGGGGCAGCAGTGGCGGCTGGCCTAACACCCGGGACCACGATAGCCTTTGGGAAAGCTAATCGATACCCTGATTGCAGTCTGTTAAGAAATCACTTACGGTTAGCTTAGTAAACAAACTTTAAAAATCTTCCAAAAATTTTCATCCAAATGTATTGTACACATTAGACAATTCTTAAGAAGGGAGAATACAGTTTCTTGACACTTAACATTCAAAGGTTTTATTGGCCATATTAATTTTCCTCACAAAAGTTTTTAAGTTATCTATAAGTTCTTAGAATGTCAAAGTAGAAGAGGAGAAAAAAACTAAGTTAAGGGGGTAATGGGGGAAGCAGCAGCTTGGCACCCACTCCTGGCGGCCTCACGCCCTCAGGCATCCTTTCTTTCCAGTAAAATTTTGTGCAACTCCTCGGCATCCTCACTTGTTTTGACCCGGATTAACATGGTCACCGGGGTGGTGGCATTCTTCTCATCGATGGGAGGATTTGGAACACAGACAATAAGTACGTTGTTCTTCCCCATCCGGGTGCAAGGCATGTTGGGTGGAATCAGAACATTCAGCAATATGTTGCCTGCATTTAAACCCAGGAAAAGACATAAACATTATACACACTACAGCTCCGTGAAAGCTGTCTTTAACACGCTAAATGGTAAATACCCAAGCAATTTATACTTAATGGATTTAAAATTGGGAGCCCAAGAATGTTGAAGGGAATCTGGTTCCAGGACTTGGCCGCCAGGGCAGAGCGCCTGCGAGGACACAAGGCCTTGGCCAGACGCGGCCTCCGACCCAGGAGCTGCCCTTCTGCCCTCCCGTCTCTCTGGAGACGCCTGCGACCACACCGGTGTCCCTGTGACGGGCCGCCCTCTTGCAGAATGTTCGGGCCTCTACGAACACAGCACATCCTTGTGCTTTAGGAAGAACAAGCTGGTGTGATCTGGAGTCTTCACTAGATCACATGAAGCAAAGAACAAACATCTGTCCCAGTGCTGGTGGTCCAGGGTAAGAGTGACAGGACTGTGACATTACCGATTTACAAGGCCTCCTGCAGCTTCTTGCTGTGGCACTGCCCGGGCGCCCACCCTCTGACCCTGCTCCTCCCACTCCCTGGAGCTGGGCTCTCCTCCAGGGGACTGCCTTCAGGGTGGAGCCACGCAGGGGCAGTGGTCGGGCAGACAGGATCTGCTCTATCAAAAGGACTCCTTGAAATGGTTACCATCCTCTGTGTGTTTAGTAAACCATCCAATTTACCCATCGCTTCTTAGTCACATTTCTCACACAAAGGAAAATGAAAACCATTTTGGTTACAGCTTTCAACATATCTATATTTTCTCACACACTATTATTCCAGTACTCAAAACTAAATCTATAAATAATTAGTAAACACAGAACCAATTTAGCCTGAATGATCTACATTCCATTCTAGAATACACATAAACATAGTTGGAAACTTCTCAATGACTAAAATCAGCAAGGTGCGTATTACGATTCTGCCCAGCCTGGGGAAGAAGTCACCCACCTAAATTGGTGTCTGCCCGCACTAGAAGCTGTGTCTTCTGATTGCCTGTAGGTTTTAAGTGCAGAGTACCTACACCCTTCTCTTTAAATTCATTGTATTTCTTGTAAAATAGTTTGCACCTACGGAGAAAAATAAACGGCATGATTAGACACTCAATCAAGCCACAGTTTTCTAACAACAACTCCGCACTTGGGGGAAAGAATCTGCATTAAATAGGAGCAGAGGAAGCTCCAGGGGAAATCTGTCACTGATCCAGACTCACTGGGTCTGGGCACCAACCACAGTAAGAAAATCTGGTTAGATATTCCAGAACTCTTTCTCATTTTTTCAAATTAAACAGTGGGTCCTACAAAACTTTTTCATAAAATACTTTCTAAATAATCTTTTCTCCAGTAAGTCAAAACCGCAGCTAACCCCAGGGCTCCTGATTGGCTCCTCAGCCCGGCCTCGTGAGCCTCTGTGGCCCTCCCAGGATATGAGCTCGTGCAGGACCAGTCCCTGCTCCTTTCTTATTTCTGAAAGTCTCCTCAGGATTCCTTCCGTTTTTGGTCTCCCCAGATGCTGACATAAACCTGGAACCGTTCTGAGGCAGGGCTTGACTCATGATAAAATAACCAATGCCTTCACAGCCTCCCACACAAGCATCTCCTAAGGGTATTGATCGGACCAGACCAAACCACCGTCTGCTCCTTTGATTCACTGATTAGAGAAATATCTTAAAGTCAGAGCCATGCCTTCATGTCACCTGGGTAACTAAATTTAAAAACAAGCAAAAGGAGTTGTGAGCCTCTTGTAAAAGTTCTCAGAAATAAGACAACATCTGGGAATTCCACAGGACATGGAAAACGGCTGACCTCTTATTCTGACGTGTTTGCATTAGAGAAAGACATCTAGGGAAGCTTCTGAAATGCTGTGAGCGCGTCCCTGTCAAAGGTACCAGTTAATCTCACCTCACTGACAGGGAGACGACATAACTCAAATCTTCCCTTTGGCCTTCTTCTGAAAAAAGCACTTCAGAAGTAGCAAAGAGCTAAATCTAACAGAAGAGAGTAGGATATGCCCAGCAGGACCTTTCTAGAACTGGCTTGTTTTTAAATAAGCAGGCCAGGAATTCGTCCACATTCCACCTCCTGAAACAGGAGCATCCACGCAGGCCAGTCTGGCGGAGACACGCCTTCCCAGAACACACGATGGGGGCCACCATCCAGGCCAGAGGTGCCCTTTCCTGTCTGTGACACCTCGCTCACGGAGGGGACTCTCATGATGACTACTTACTTTTTGGAGTAAAAAGCATCTTCTTCTTTGACTTCAGTAACGACTACTCTGGGTGGCTCATCACTCTCTTCTTGGTCTCCACCTTTCAGAAAACAGCAGTGACTCAGCGAGGTTCAGATCCACAGTCTGACAGGGCACAGGAGGCGTCTACCCACCACCCCACACCTCAACCTAAAA